CTCACCATTCAATGTATTCACCGGGGGGTGCCGGGTCCGTCATTGTAGTGAGAGAAGCTTCAACAGTGCCTGTGACTTGCGACCCCAGTGTAGGTTTAAGGGGCCCCTATCTAACGCGCATTAAACGCTCACCTACACCGTCCAAGCTCCTCTTTCCAGTATAGCTCTCTACTCAAGCTAGTATTTACATAGGTAGTATGAAAAACGGGAAACTTCTCGTATGTAGTGTGACGATGCAGACGTGTGCTACGTATACTTACTCGTATTTCGGTTATCAATTATCATCATGTTTATAAATTAAACTTCGATATCAGTTTAAGTAAAAGTTTGTTATCATACATTTATTAAGAAAATTTAATATATAGTTATGACTCAATGTGTTTATGAAAACAGAATTATTTTTAACATGAAATGATCATGATTATATAGAAAAAATAAAATACCTCTTAATTAGGTACTTTAGTTTTATATTAATCGGATTTTTAAACAATTTTTGATATGCTTTTGGGTGCGCTTATCTTTATACATATAATTCTTCTGTGAGTGTGTATGTCACTGAACTTCTCTCAAACGACTGGACCAATTTTGATGAACGTTTTTGAGTGTGTTCAAGGGGACCTGGGGATGGTTTAGATTCACAATTTTGTCCGCTGGCCAATGTTTTTTTAATTTATTTTTAATTTATTAGTAGTTGTTGAAACAAACTTTTTTTTTAACATTAGATTTGACAACTAACTAATATGTCAATCATTTTGTCGCACTTCAAAACACGGAGATTTATGGCTTTAATAGGTAAACTCCAAAAATATTAATAAAAAAACGTAACAGATATTTCATGATTATAGGGCGATATGAAGTTCTCCGGGTCTTCTAGTATTCTCATATAGTTTATCGAAAGAAGATAAGTTATTAATTCTTCTTAACTGCTATCTCTTTTCTTCTGGATGACAGTCACACTCAAGTCATGATATTAATTGACTTGTACTCCTCAAATCTCCAAAATAAGAAATAATGTGAATAGCATTAATGAGTCTAAAATCAGCATAAACATTTTAATAATAGCCACGTGAAGTTCATTCAACTCGGAGATGCATCTCAAACTGACATCTTGTAGGTAGCGTGTATAATTTTGATTTTACATTTAGTTTTAAATTAATAAATATTAATTAAAGTCCAAGTACGAGTATGAAAAATGCTAAAATTTAAGTTTTTAGTCCCATGAATATATATAAAATTTATTTCATATGACAGACATATTGTACATCCAAACTGACAATTTAGCCGTAGATTATAGGATACAGTTTCTGTTTTAACAACAATACTACAAAAATATTCAATAATATCCCTACTAATATTATAAATGCGAAAGTAATTCTGTCTGTCTGTCTGTTACGCTTTCACGCCTAAACCATTGAACTGATTTTAATAAAATTCGGTACAGATATAGAGTTGACCTTGAGAAAGAACATAGGATAGTTTTTATCCCAGACTTTTGAAAGGTTCTCTTGGAAACGCGATATAACAGAACTCCAGTCGGGCGAAGCCGCGGGCGGAAAGCTAGTATAATATGTATATCTTTTAATTATGTCATAACGCATACGTTATTTTTGAACATGAGTGATATTTTATGACTCGTATATGTGTATGTATGTATATATGTATGTGTATGTATGTATGTATGTTTTATTAGTCATATAAACGTGCCTCTCAATGGTATACCCGACACGTGTTGGTCGCGTCCCCCGCTAGTTATTTCATTACTATTGCGCGCTACATCAATAAAGAACTATGTTATTGTGTTGTATGTATGTTTGTTTGTTGTGTAACTCGAAAACATGGAGTTAGTTATTAAATGATACTGTGATTACATTTTTATGACTCCACGTATATAAACGACTTAGTTCTATATTAAAATTTTATTTGATTTATTTGTAAAATGTATGTAGTTGCTTTATTTTGTCAGATTTTCGATAAATAATTAACTTGAGATAGATTACTATAAAAAGTAAAAACAGATACTGATTTTTTTTTCTTATTAATTCATTTGAAAGATTTGTGATCAATTTTGTTTTATTTATTTTTAAATGCATAATTAAAATGCTATGTGTTATGAAATAATTGCATATTTAAACTTCCTTGATGTCATATACTAAGCTGTAAAATTTAAATCGTTTGCAATATTCTTAATTGCCATTTTTTTGTTTTTTTAATGATTTTTTTAATAAGAAATTAATGTATAGTGTTACTCTAAATTTGTTTGTTATATTAATTGACCCCTGACCTTGCTTACTGACCCTACCCTCGAAAGAGCCCCGGATATAAATTCAAGGATCCGAAGTTAATTCGTGTCACGTAAAGGAAATGGTACACCGTGAAGGTTGGAAGTTGGAACTTGTGGATATTGTTGTGTGGCAACTGTTATATATTGTATTGTTGTGTTATAATTAACACTTAAATTTAGATTAAAATATATATGTAAATATATGTTTCGCATATAAATCGGAATGAAGTAGTATTAATAATACAGATATAAATAGATGTATATAAAAATATATAATATATATTTTAAACTATAAATACGGTTTATAAGTATGTAAGCATGTATATTAAATTTTGCAATATATACATCCAAATATTTAATTGTATCACACACAAAAACGCACTCATACACGCACGCACACGTTACACATACGTACAAAACCTTATCTATTAATACATATTATTAATTACTTAAATGGAAGCATATTCTCTCTCATTATTTTGCTATAATGTATATACAATAGTCATTTTACTTCCAAATTTGCTTCTTTAATCCAATCGTTATAAATTAAATTAATCTCATTAATTCAATTAGTTTTTTTTATATCTCTTTAACATTATTTCTGTACTGTATTTTGTAAGGATCCGACCAAATTATTTAAAACCAATGTTTCATTTAATCCACAGAATCGAAGGGGTCATGAAGAAATGGTTGATAATTTTTATTTGAACTATAAGTCGTAGTATTATAATTATTTGTTAATGCTATGCTTATGCTTATTTTTGGTAGATAAAATAAAATAAAAACTATCCTTCAATATGTTTGTATTAGAATTTGTGAGGTCATTGAACCGTCTAGAAGACATTGTATTTAAATTAATATATGTCTAATTAACATATATTAAATATTTTTACATTTATTTTGTGATCTTAGCGCCTGGTTATGTATTTAGTAGGTATGTTTATATATAATGTCATTTATTATCCAAACATAATTTTGAACAAGTCACAGCCGTATCGCAGTTTTACTGAGGAAAAAAATATTTCTTCTTCTACCTGGCAATTACCCAGCTTTAGCCAGGGTCTGCCTTACATGTTGTGAATAGTTTTGGCTAATAGTTTTTACGACCGACCGCCTGCCTGACATCAACCCTCTTTGGGAGTGCATTTATCAGTGATGTCTAAATACTCTTAGAAAGTACATGTCTCGGAAAAATCACATTGGTACTTGCCAGGGCCAGGATCGAAACCGCGCCCTCGTGCATGAGAGGTGGGCCTTTTAACCACTAGGCCACCACTGACTACAATTACTACTGGTGAATTACTATCAATATTTAAGGAGAATACTCGGTACATGATTCTCATTCGAATTATGTAAAAAAATCGGTACTTAATTTTTGACCAAATTTCCGTATAAATAAATAAAGTGCGGACACGTTCCAAGTGTTCCAAGTGTGGACGCGTGCGGCGGCGTGCTGATACAACACCACGCCACGTGTGTGTGTGTGTGTGTGTATACCTAATCTGTAGGGTGTTCACGCGATGCGTAATTAATTACATAACTTTGGGTTAACTTTACGTAGAAGTTTATTAATATTTATGTTATATTAATTTTTATTTTGTCATATATGATCGTCAAATATCACGTCCTCAAGTATCGATAGTAATTCACCAGTCACCCTGTATAGATATGTTATATCAATAATATCTATGATCGAAGTGTAAATTTAATTATTGATATTTCTTCATATAATTTGACGAGTTCATAAAATTAATAACGTTAAAATGATAAGCGAGATAAGATGTCTGGCTCAAGTCTCAGAGAAAGTGCATTACGCAATGGAATAATTGGCACTTAACCAACGCTCGGAGAATGTACCCGCAACTATTGCCAAAAGAAAATATATCCTAAAATAGTTATAATGTACGAATACTATAAATAAATCGTCTGGCTTCGTCTGGGATTTTATATATCTAATAAGCTACTTATATTTGTAAAGTAATGTCGACTTATCTTTTATCAAGCGATAATTTTTCTTTCTTTATCTTTATTGTGGATTTTTTTTCCGGCGATAGTGTCTTTATCTTATATAGTAATTTTTGTGTGGTATAAAATTTATTATTGTAGTCTACATTTATATAGTAATAAAGATTTTCGCTTGGTAAAAGATGGTGAATATGTAGTCCTAGGTAATGAATGCATTATCTCAATATTACTTACTCTATTTGGCCTTTTGAATACGTATAAATAAATAAATAAATATATATATATATATATATATATATATACCCTTTTCAGGCTATAGAATACATATATGAAAAAAATATATAATCTCAATTATTGAACTTAATATTTTTTATATATTACTAGTTTTGGTCCTCGACTTTGTTTGAGTTAGTTTCAGAATTAGAAATGTATAGCTGTTTAACTCTGTCCCTCCTGGAAAGCAGTAAATAAGATGATTTTACATTTTATCAACTTAGTTATTCCTTTTCTGATATGTTGAAAAGTATTCTATGTCATTATCAGTGTTCTAAATTACTTCGCCACCAATTGTCATCAACATCCGTACAGCCATTCTTTATTTATAAATAGTGTAACTAATACGAGTTTCTTTTATATATAAAAAAAGATTATTTCTAAAATGAATCGTCTATATTTATGAATGTGATATTAGATATATAATATTATGTGTTTTCCTTCATTCCAGGTCCGTTAAGCGGCTATTGCCGCAGTCAGAATGCGTTCTCTGCTAGCGTATTATGCTGATGCTGTGATGACAGCAGCTAGAGGCACAGGCTGTGCCCTCGGCTGCAGCGGCCGCGGGGACTGCATGAACGGCACCTGCCTCTGTGAGATAAGATACTCGGGAGATGAGTGCGCCGGTCCCAACTTGCCTTACCACGCGTGTGAGTTGATGCTTAATATTTATTTTATACCCTATTTATTTATTTATTTACTCTTTAATGTACACCAATATAGACAGAAATAATAAGAGAAAAACAAAGAAAGGAAAATGTACAAATAGGCGGCCTTATCGCTAAAACAGCGATCTCTTCCAGGCAACCTTTGGTAGAGGAGAGAGATAGGATGGTAGGGGTGTACAAATTACTGAATACATAAAAAATAGATACAATATATATGTATATATACGATACATAAATAAATATACCATAAATATATACCTAAATAATAATATAATATACATACACATTATAGATATATACATTTACATACTATAGATACTTACATAATAAATAAAATAATTAATTGCAATATTTCTTCATGAGGCAAGATAGTGCTCTTTTATCATTTTTTTAAAAGAATTCATATTTGGTGCACGTCTTGCTTCGAGTGGAAGAGAGTCCCTAGTCCATACATTCATACCAGTTCTATCTTTCTCTAGGGCCTTTCATTCTGCATACTTTTTCTATCTTTCATACCAGGGATATACCCTTTAACTAATTGTATATTTGTTCCATTTATTTTCTATTTTATAGGATTCGGTGGGGATATCTTACATAATTTCTTTATATTGTTATATTTCATTGATGTTTAATAATAAAATTGGAGTATTAGGAATGGGGTGCAATCAAAGACAAGAATTTTATATAACTGTTTATTCTTAACTAACGAAACCGGGGCTAAGACCACTAAGCCGTTACAATAACTACGTAGCTATACATATGTATATATACATACATCTCAGTACAAAAACATTTAGCTTACGGCGACAACGCATCTCTAACACCCCTTGTGTTGCATATGACCATGAGAGACGGTAACTACTTACCATCAGGTAGGCCGTTGGCTCGTTTGACAATTTGGAACATAAAAAAGGCTTATTTAAATACGAGACGTAACTTCTTAGCATTCAATGGATTCACTGTGTGGTTGACGGGTCCATAGCGTTGTAATTGGGGATGCAATGGAAATAGAAAACCGTTTAGGAAACACTTTAGTCTGGTATAGGAATGACAATGACAATTTCTATGACAAAGTTGTATGAAATGTGGCTATGGTATTGTGGTTATAATATAAATATATACATATTTCTCATTAATATGGCTTAACCGGCAGAAATTTTGCTGAACGCTGTGGGCTCATTATTTTTTTCTACATACAGGTTTTTATTCAATGTCAAACAGCTTCTCTAAATAGCGAAGATATATCAGAATAAACAGCTACACTTGATATAGTTAGACTTTAAGGATTCAATGTGTTGGTAAGGCATAATATATAGAGTGCTATGATGATTTTTGACCATTGCTTTGGTCGGAACAAAAAGCCGATACAATACCTATTTATTGTAGCTAGTACTAAACTAAAGTAAGCTTATTAGTGGCGTTACTCTAAAACAAAAATCCTTAGTTATATTTCCTAATTAAAAGATATATTTGTTGAAAAGAGTAAATAAGTCATTCATAGGTTAGTAATTGAATTATAGTTTAGTAAGTAAAGCGTCTAGTGCACTATTAGGAAGTCTCAGGTTCGAATTAGCTCGGGTACGTGATTCTTTCTATATCATCTTTTTGTATATCAATTGACTATTGATTTGATTCAATATATTATACCAGTTATATAATATAATATAAAATTAATAGTGCGTTCTTCCGCGCCGAAGAAGTGAACTTGGTAATGTTGGAATGAAAATAAGAAATTGATTTTTAAATATATTTTTTTGTGTTCCTTTAAGAAAAAACTTAGTAATATTACTTTCAAGTCACAATTGATTGGTCATATACGTTCGAGCGATACGCCCCCATGGACCATTATTAATAGTTAAACGTCGAAGATATTTCACAGTCTGTAGTTTTTTTATGCTTCCTAAAGTATATTAGAGTAAAATTAAAATGTTTTGTGTATATATAATACATTAATATGGATATAATGATAGGAGCTTTTGTATTAACTTGTCAAACTCGTTTGTTATTATAAATGAGCAATATTGTGGGGATGTAAGTATGTTTGTCGCACTGTCAGGTAAAAACTACTTAATGTATTTTGATGGAACTTCACAATATATATATAGCTTATATATGAGAATAAAATATTAATTATGCGGGAATTCCATGTAGTTCCATTGAGCTCACGTTATAGTAGTTGTATTGCGCATGTGTTAACGTGACACAGACGTTAGATGTCGCTAAAAATTGGTTTTCATTTACACATTTCGATTGTGCAGTTAAACTTCAAGACCAAAATCTGTTAAATTTGTGTATTTTGCTAAAGTTTAATGCTCTATAAATTGATTTACATCTGGTGCCTTAATTATTTTCAGTAACATCACTTACAGAAGTTATAACTTAAAGGTATCTTAGTATTCGTATGTCATGAGATCAGTTATTTATTTATGTACCAAAAAGTAAAAAATAGTTACAATTAAAATATTATAAAACAAATGTGATGTACAAAGGATAACTTATCTCTTAAAAGAGATCTCTACCAGAAACCCTTTTGATAGAAATGAGAAGAGAAATGTGGAATAGGTACAATAAAAAGTAATATAGTGTTTTACATAAAAATTATGATTATTCTGTGAATTAAATGAAACGTACAGATATACAGAAATAATTACAATTTAGAGAATTTATTTACACACTTTTTTAATAAGAGTCACGCTATCATATAAAGCAATAATTCCGATTATATCTTAATCATTATATCTTCATTTCCAGGTATTGGCGGAGTTTTCCTCATGGTGGCGTTCGTGTGTGCCGTTCAGCTGACCGTGTGTGTGGTGACGGAGTACAAACGCCTGAAGGCTCCCACCATCCTCAGGGCATGTAAAGTCACAACACAGAAGATGCTCTACTTCGTTGCTTTCCTCGCGTCATTCATACGTGGAGCATACTTCGTATCACCTGTGAGTATCTAATATTATAAATGCGAAAGTAACTCTGTCAGTCTGCCTGTTACGCTTTCACGCCTAAACCACTGAACTGATTTGAGATGGAGTTGACCTTGAGAAAGAACAGGATAGTTTTTATCCCTTTGAAAGGCTCTCTTGTATGTATTGTTATTCTTCAAAGCGAAAATGACTGAACAGAACTTTATAGTCATGTAGTTTGAATGTCAGAATAAGATATAGGATATAATTTATTCCGTAAATCCGGTTACTCAACGCGGGAAAACCTTATTATAGTTATATGATACAGACAATAGATGGCGCTAGCGTTGGTTACCAAATATATAATTTTAACATACTAAATATAGAATTTTTTAAGCCTAATTCCGTAATCCATACAGACAAAGTCGCAGGTAAAAACTAGTTAAAGTATTTGTTATAATTCATCCGTCTTTTTATCTGCGTCGTATAGTTACCGTCGCCTAATGATATTATAAACGCGTTGACCTTCGCTTCGGATAAAGATATAAGTATTGGGATGAAACAAGTTGTATTTCCGACCTATTAAAAGCTAAAAGTTCCAGAATGTTCGATGAAAGAAAATTACAAAGAAGCAATTTTTATATACTACTAGCTGCGCGCCGCGGTGTAAAGTAGCCTATGTGTTATTCCTGGACGTCAGCTTCCTGTATACAAAATTTTATCAAAATCGGTTCAGCCGTTTGAGCGTGAAGAAGTAACAAACATACACACACACTCACAAACTTTCGCAATTATAATACTAGTAGGATAATGAAAATCAAATATTCAAATTAATGAAATCTATCTATTCATAAATAAAAATGAAAGCATATATAATAATTATATGTTATATATGTTGATCTTTTTTCACAATAAACCAGTTAAAAAGATAATTTCCATCATCAAATTTGAAATATATTATTTAGTATATAAATATTTTATTTTCTTATATTTCAAGTGACTTGAGTGTGTATGTGTTAATGATGTTTTAATGATCGGTTATTGACAATGTAAATGATGTAAACAATGATATTATATTGTTTATACATATATAAGAACATGATAAATATATAACATATATAAAGACCATATGTAACCAAGAATCCTAACTTCCCTTTTTTTATATCACACATATATATAAAGAGGGTTTTATTTTTAAGCATTTGTATATTATGTTATATCACTGGAGCAATACTAGAAAAATGTATTTAGAGATAAAAGGATAATGGTAAAACGACCATTGTGTATGCATAATAATATATTATTTTGTATTTTCAACTTTTCTTAATTCCATACTTTCCATATATTATATTATATATACTAATAAATATATTCTGGTCCCCAGTCAGCCTTCCAAGAGGGTTGGGCAACGAGTCTTCTATCAGCATACTACCCTCTCATGATATCTGGATCATCACTCATAGTCTGCTTCTGGGCTGAGGTGAGTCTAGACCAAATAACACAAGTCTACAAACATTGTAGACTACCAATAATAATAATTAATTCAATTTAAATATATGTTTATGAGGTGGTTGTTTGTTAAGCGTGCTGATTAATGCTGAAACCTTCTCCATGAGAGAAAGAGGCCTTGCTCAGCAGTGGGCTCTGATAGGCTGATGATTTGTTATGTTTTGTAAATATTATTGAAGTATTATATATATAGTTATTTAGAGGGTTGATGTCAGGCAGGCAGCCGGTCGTAAAAACAAATAGCCAAAACTATTCACAACATGTAAGGCAGACCCTGGCTACAGCTGGGAAATTGCCAGGTAGAAGAAGAATAGTTATTTTCGGTCATTATTTTAAAATAATTACAATTTTATTGCTTAGATTTGCCAAATTAAAGTTTTTTTCAACTCATCAATATTTTAAGGTCATTCGATTCATTTTAGAAAGTTATCCGATCGCCAGTACAGATTTGGTTATAATTTTTGTAACAGTATTAATTCTAGTTTCTGTTATGACGTCATCGTTGCCTAGCAACCGTAATGTACGTCTCTTAATTTCTCCTATATATTTAAAATAGCCAGTTACTGTTTATTAATACAGTAATTGTTGGATTCATTGTGTCAATATTATAGACAACAACAGTTGTTGTTGATTAAATAAATGTACATTTAAATGTCTTTAATCGAATTATCAATGGGTAGAAACGCTTATTTTAATATGAATGGACCACATTAAACATATCTTGTACGTCTATATCAGGACAAATGATGAAAAATGTTTCATTTTAAAAAGCACTATGTACTTTTTCAATTGAATATTTAATATATTCAATAAAGCTACAGTATATTTCATTAATATTTTCAAATGCAGTTTTAATTCATAAAACAAAGTTCTCTATAAAATTTAAATCTTGTAATAAATAATAACATACATAAATAAATCATTAAAATCATAAACATTGGAGACTTTGTAAATTCTAGACATCTATAAAAAATAGTGAGTCACACGTTGTTTACTAATACAACATGCATTAATGTCGGAACTGAGTTAATTAATTTTAATTGATGGAGCAATAAAATAAATAAATATTTTGTTTACAGCGCCATCTATTGCGTTTTAGACTCACTAACTGTCACATGATTGTTATAATATCTCATGATTACTTGTAAGTTCCGTAAAGTATCGTAAGATGTCGCTATTTGTATAATTCAAGATGGCGTTTGTTTAAGGTTTCAATAAAAATTATACCGCGTTTTATATCTATTATTTTATTTCGCTGATTAACTATATTATTATTATATGTTATCAAGACCAATTATACAGAAGTTATATATCCAAATATGAAGTAAAACATATTTAATATTTAAAGTTTTTTTATACATATAAATTTGGAAACAGCAAAACGAATAACTAAGGTCGCATTATTGACATGTTACTAGTAATATTTATTATTTTATACGTATAAAAAACATATAATTATAAAGTTATAGTTTTTTTTAAATTACTGACAATACTTTTGACAATACTTACAATGCAGCGCTCAGACAGAAACGAAAGGTGCTGTAAATAAAAACATAAAAGTCCTATTAAATAAGAAAGAGAGAAATAAATATTCAGACAAGACATCAAAGATATGAATTTAAAACAAGATTGAGTATTACCTGTACGCTTAACACGCGTTTGTATCGTCACTACATACTTAACGTTTGCCGTTCCTCATACTAACCACGTTAATACTTGTAAAGATTTGAGAATGAAATACTATTAACGCGCCGTACGTAGTATGACGATACAAACTCATACTAAGTGAACAGATTTTATTGTACGGAGTCGATCCTTCTTGGAATATAATTGCATATATATAAATATTTGACGTACAGACAAACCGGTTAAGTCTCAGTATGAGAAGATATGTTAGGGTGTGTATAGGGGCTTGTTACTTTTATGGTCATACTTTAATGTAGCTTTATCCTTCCCTACTAATATTATAAATGCGAAAGTAACTCTGTCTGTCTGTCTGTTACGCTTTCACGCCAAAACCACTGAACTGATTTTAATGAAATTTGGTACAGAGATAGAGTTGACCTTAAGAAAGAACATAGGATAGTTTTTATCCCAGATTTTTTAAAGGTTCTCTTGGAAACGCGATATAACCGAACTCCACGCGGGCGAAGCTGCGGGTTTAAAGCTAGTAGTTTGTAGGTATTTATATTAAAAAACAAACGGGATCGAGAAATTATTAATGGTATTTAATCTCATTAAGATCACCTACAGGATATGATTTTTCCGAGTCATATGTACTTTCTAAGAGTGTTTAGACATCACTGACTGATGAAGGAAAACATCGTGAGGAAACCTGAACTTATGGTTTCACAATTATAAGTTTGAAATCACCAACCCGTCTTGAGCAGGCGTGGTGATTAATGCTCAAACCTTCTCCATGTGAGAAAGAGGCCTTTGCTCAACAGTGGGCTCTGATAGGATGATGATAATTTAATCCCTTTAAATTTGTGATAACCTATGTTTTGTCAGTGAAATTTTATCGTGAAATTAAATTATAATTGAGCAAAAAAGGATCCATTTGTATATAAGTCACATATTGTTAAGTTTTAAACATCTCCAATAAAGATGTCGTGATAAATTAATGTAGGGTATCTCATGAACACGGCTTTATTCTGTACCTTATACGAGATGGTTTTGAATTATTCCAATGAACGTTTGTACCGTAAGCTGATAATTTATTGATTTTGCATTAAATTGAAATTTTTTTTTGTTTAAAATATATTTTATATTAAATATATGTGAAAAAATAAGTAGTTCGTGTCACTCGATCGAAGTTATCAAAGGTGTAGGTTGATTCAAAGGTATTAAAATTAGATTTTTTCAGATAACTATCTGATTTTTTTTATTATGATAACAGTTGCTGCAAGTTAATCGAAATATCACGAAAATATAAATATAATATAGTAAAACACGCGTAGTGAGCGAAAATATATAGTTTTTTAATGTGACCACCCTAAAATCTTAAATATTATTAACAAATAGAAAATATTACAAAAAGTTGTTATTTGATCATATTTGCAGCTTTCTTAGATCTGGTACAGCTAGCAATGATAATCCCAACACCTAATTACTGGTAGAATGTATTCTTGCAATAGTAAGTACATTATATTGCTAAATTGTAATTAATGTCTAACAATATAACAAGATGGCGCTAGCCTCTAGAAATCATATATAAATAATAGTTTTAACATAAAAGTATAAATTATATGACAAAATCATATCATAATTTCCTAATTAAAATTAATTTACGTTTACATTTCTAGTAATATAAAACAAAATCTGTTTATAGTTAATTTGTGTTAGACGAATTGTAGTTTTAAATGTGAAAACAGAGATGGCGCTAGTTGTATTGATATTTGTCAATGACTATTATTTGCTTGCGCGTATTATCACTTTTGTTTTAGTTAGTGATTGAAAAATTTCTATTGAAAACATATTTTTTTTTTGTATTATTTTTAAACGCGCGAAGCAAAACGAGGAGTGTTAAGTTTGACGTCAATGTCTGCATGTGTCTGTTTATGACATTTTATCTATCAAATGGATCGCCCGATTTCGATGACGTGTTTTGTATTTGAAAGTCAGATTCCGTGCGTTGGTTCCTACGTTAGTTTGGTTAATATCAGTCCAAAACTGTAAGAGCAGCAGCTCTTTTGGTCTATATCTATGATAACTATATTAACGCCTTACTATTGTTTTGTTTTCAAACCAAATTTAGTTGTTTTGATATTAGTATGAATCAAAACCCGTTCAAAGACAGAAATGAAATATAGTTCAGTTATATTATAATAAAGAATTAGAGTTATATGATAATGGCTTTTCACTGTTCAAAAATATATGTATTTGTGATTTATCCTTTACCTATAAATGTTTTAACAAACTCTACACAGTACACTGAACATGTTCTCGCGGGCAATGTCGCGGGCAGAAGTTAGTAATTACTATATATAAATATATAACATATTACGAGTATTCAAAAAACATTAATTACCTTATTACGATCGTATTCAATGTAAACTATCACACTGCAAGTATGAAGTACGTCGTGAAATCACTCGCGTAAGACCTCGGACTTAGACATTTGAGATACTTTATGTCGGTTTAAATTCAATTAGATTTTATACGCAAGAAGTATTATTTAAATAATGTATGAAAAATATATCACATTAAGTACAAAATAATTTATTATATAGTATTTAGAAAAGGTATTTGTTTGATACGTAGATACAATATGGTGGTGGCCTAGTGGTTAAAAGGCCCGCCTCTCATGCACGAGGGCGTCAGGTTCGATCCTGGCCCTGGCGAGCACAAATGTGATTTTTCCGAGTCATATGTACTTTCTAAGTGTATTTAGACATCACTGATTAATGCATTCCCTAAGAGGATTGATGTCAGGTAGGCGGCCGGTCGTAAAAACTATTAGCCAAAAACTATTCACAACATGTAAGGCAGACCCTGGCTAAAGCTGGGAAATTGTTAGGTAGAAGAAGATATTATTATACCGATCAAAAAAAAGCTTTAAGGATAGACATTTATTTAGAATTGAGAAACTAAGGAAATATGAGGTAGTTTATTAAATTAAACTAGTTATCAGTGAATGTATGAGTAGCACATGGTCTAGACTCTAGAGTCTACACCATGATGACTCCAGAGTCTAGAGTCTACAGTCTAGACCATGTACGAAAATAGTAATACTGTTAAGAGAAGATTTTTAAGTTAAAAATATACACTATCATACCATAGTATTGGAGAAATCTCTTTGGCCAAATTCATCTCGTCTTTACTTAATCAAGGAAATTTCGTTAAAAACGTAAAAGAAAGATTTTTCATCAATTTTTTTTTATGATAAAAATGTTTCCAATATAAGTATATATTCAGGTATATACTTTATTTGTCACCTGGCTTACAAATGAGGATAAAATTAAAATAAATGTTTTCCCTCTTAAAAGCAATTAATCATATTTTTTTTTGTAATAAAAGTAAACTTGTTAGATCTGCATAGTAGAATCCTATATATATGTACCTATATATATAATCATTTCTATTTATTTTTATTGAAATCATTACTAGCTATTGTCTTCAACTCCGTCTGTATAAAAATACGTTTTTATACTAAACAAAATAAACATACCGATATTGTTTTGTTATATTAAATATTATTATTTAATTTTTCGATGCTTACGTGCGAGT